CTATCTATCTATCTATCTATCTATCTATCTATCTATCTATCTATTTATCTATCTATCTAAATTGCCCTCTATCAACATGGATATTCCTTTTATAACCATGACTATTAACATTAAATTCTCCCAACTTTCTTATGATTTAATGAATATTTATTTGGTCTTGCTTTTTCCACCAAAAAATTAGGCAATTTTTGGTTGACATTTTGATCCTGTCCATATATTGTTAACTATTTAGTGCTAGCTGATTTTTTTTTTATTGAAAAGTTTTATAAAAGTTACAATATACACCCCAAAACCCACCCACTCTAACCCCCCCTCCCAGAGCTGAGTACAGGATAAAAAATATAATAATCATACTCTAATTAACATTAACCAACTATGTGAATAACCAAGTCCATAATGTGCTTTAACTCCCCTTTAACATAAAAATAAACAAATTAAAAATAAACATAATAATATAAACAAGTTAATATCCTAATTCTTGAACAATACAATATCCACATTGTTAAACAATATTAATACTACTACTAATAATAAAACTAATAAAAATTCCACTATAGTAAACTATTAATAATAATAATACTCTAAAATTTACTCATAAAGTAAATGGAACTTTTTAGTCCCATATTTATTCTGAATATAATCTATCCATCTTCTCCAAACCAAAATGTATCTTTCTTGTGAATGATCCTTCAAATAAGCAGAAATCTTAGCCATTCTTCTATAGTAGGCAAACAATCCTTCTTCTAATATTGCCCTACCAATAACCTTGCAGCTGTTATCAAGTTCAACATCAAATTAGTTTCTTTAGCATCACAATCTACAATAACACCCAATAAAAATAATTGTGGAGTAAACTTTATCTTTCTCCTAAAAATCTTTTGAATGTTCCACCAAATCTTAATCCAAAAAGCTTTTATATTTCTGCAAGTCCACCAGGTATGAAAATAAATAGCATCCAAACTACCACATCTCCAATATTTGGGCTGTAAATTAGGATACATATAAGACAACTTTTTAGGATCCAGATGCCATCTATAAAACATTTTATAAAAATTTTCTCTTAAATTTTGGGCCTGGGTAAATTTTACATTTCTAACCCAAATTACCTCCCATATATCCAATGGAATCGGTTCTTGAATATTTTGAGCCCATTTTACTATACAATCTTTAACTAAATCCATTTCTGAATCCAATTCTATTAAAGCATTATAAATTCTCTTTATATGTGCTCGGTTTTGATCTTTAATCTGTTTTACCAAATTCTCATCCATTGAAATAATACCAACCTTTTGATCTAACTTCCACCTAGACAACAATTGATTATACTGAAACCAAGATTGTACAATATTGTCTTGCTTTAACTCAACTAACAGTTTTAATTGCCAATCTTTCCCTACCAACCTAAGTAGTTCCTTATAAGAAATCCTATCCAAATTCACACCCATAGATACCCCATCTATCGCGTGTCCAGGAATCCCCCAGATTGGTATTTTATAATTTAACTTATAATAATACTTCTTCCAGACACGCAATAAAGCACTTCTTAAAATATGAGATTTAAAAGTTTGGTCAACTTTTTTGTTATAAATTAAGTATGCATGCCACCCATATAATAAATCCCATCCCTCAAGATAAAGTATACTTTTATTTGTTAAATTAAGCCAATCACTAATAGCTGATTTGAAAGTTTATTTATTCTACCATATTTTAAAATATTTTCAATTACAATTTTAATGTTATTATAGAAATAAATTTGGCTTACCGATGCTTTTAATAACTGTTACCTTAATATTTATTTATTTTTGCTGAATGAAGATGAGATGCTAAGAGGCGCCACTGGCCTTATTAAAAACAGCATTGGAACAGTGCTAGAAATATAAACAACAAAACAAATGTGCTCAGTACAATAAGATTGTAAGCTTTATCTACCAACTGTTCTATTGTTTGGTAGCACCACATGATGGCAGAGTTGTACACATTTTCCAGATTTGTGGTTCAGGATTTTTTTACTGAGTAGTAGGCTTAGTAAAATAGGGGGAAAGGTGAATGAGAGGGCATAAGTGATAATTACAGTTCTGCAAGAATTATTAAATTATTAAAATGTATTAATTTAGGGGCTTTGAAGATAGGGGTTATCATCTCTACCCCTCCCAGTGTCAAGGTTCCGACTAATGAAATACTTCAAAGAGCTTCCAGGCATGTTTATCCTAAAGTCTTTATTAACAGTGTAACAAATCGAAGGCACACCATGGATGTTTATGCCAGAATCTGAATTTCTCTTGCTTGCATCTAACCCCTCCCTTATTTTGTAGTCATAAGTCACATCTTCCAATTAGCCCAGAGGGCAAAGATTCACTTCCCCCCCTTTTCTTATGAATCTCCTCCCTCACTCTGTCATCTGAATTAACTCTAAAAATACCAGACAGTTCTGTATATCTTGTTAAAGCAATAATATCCTATGTTAACAGCACTGACACCCAAATTATTTCATTTTGGCAGGGAGGTTTTAGTTCTATACACTTAAATAAAAACATTAACAATGTGATGACTTTAAAAAGATGTACAGAAAGTGGAAGCTAGTTTCTTTGCTTATCTTTGCTTTGGTCAGAGCTAGAATTCTTATAGGGACTAAACAGAAGCCACAATAAATTAAAATTTATTTTAAATAAGATTTATGATGAAATTAAAGAATTAGGATAGATTTGGAAGGGACTCCTGAATTGATGATGTGCTTATTTAAAGTTGAATTTGATTATGGTCTTGTAATTGCATAAAGCTGTAAAACAGGTTTAGAATTATTAGAAATTTAAGTTAGAAACAGACTATTTTAAATATATAAGCTATTTGAGGGGAAGAGAGAGGGAAGGTTTGATGTATTGATTAAATTATCTATATATATTTTGTTTTTGGATTCTTGACACCCCTGTATCACAGTGTGTCTCAAGCATGTTGTCTTAAAAATTAAAAAAATCAATAAAATTTGTTTTAAAAAAAATAAAAATAAATTAAAATTTATTTTGACAAATTAACTTAATATTATCAGTAGTTTGTGCATTAGCTTGCATCTTCCTTTTTCTGTGCACCATTTTTTCCCAATGTTTAAGTTGCAAAGTTTTGTTTGTTGACAAAGAGCTATTTGCATACACAATCAATAACAGCTTTCGAAGTCGTGTTGGGAAGGATGTAGTTATTTTAACACTTGAAAGAGGTTCTTTGTTTAAATGCTTTGCACAGCCCTACTGAGCATAAATTTCAAAATCATAACAATCATATGAAAAAAAATGTGCTGCAGAGGTATCCAACCTGAAGTATCCACACCCCCAAATGATGAGATGAAATTTCAGAGTGTGCAATAAAGAATGGCATGAGTCCCTTGTGAGTTAGAATTTTAGGGGATGCAACAAAGAGTGGCTTGTGTGCTTTGGTGACAAGTCACAAGTCACAATTACTTTTGTAGAGGATGCAAATATTAATCAAATATTTCCTAGAATATGATCTAAGACTGTAATACAGTTTAAAAGAAGGCAAAAACATTTTAAAGAGTATTAAGCTTCCTTGATCAGGCTTCACTTGAAAGTGTTCAGTTTTGTGTTTCAATTTAGAAAAGACAATAATTTACTGCAAGTCCAGAGGTCTACCAAGATAGTGAAAGGATTGGGAACTAAACCTTATGTTTAGTACAGGGCTTTTCAACCAGTGGTACGGGTACCACCTGTGATACATTGGCACCTGGCAGGTGGTACGCGACCATCCTAGAAAAGTGGTAGCGGGGGGGGATGGCTGGAGCTGCAGGGCTGTCAGAGCTCAGCAGAAATACCAGGATGAGCGCTTGTTCGGGACTGTCAGGCCTCAGTGGAAGTCCCAGGATCAGCTCAGCACTGATTCTGGCACTTCTGCTGAGCCCAGAAGCGCCGATCAGCTGGAATGTTGCAGTATCTTCAGGGTCTTGTGATTTACATTCAGATGCTTGGCAACTGATTCAGATTTATGATTGTCAGTGTCCCAGGGTCATGTGAAGTGACCAAAACCTGCTGCAACCACCCAGCAGACGGGGGGAGGGAATAAAAACCAAACACCCCCCCTCCAGCCCACCCCCGCTGCCAATCCTCAACAGAAATGCTCACAACAATGAAAACCTCGGACAGAAGGAAGAGCACTGCCGGGCGGGCAGGCAGGCGTCTTGCTCAGCTGTGCCTTGGGGAAAACTTTTCTCAGTGTCATTGGAACTTCGAACAGTCACTAAGCAAACTGTTGTAAGTTGAGAACTACCTGTACTTTATCACTTTTTTCTTTTTTTGGGGGGGGGTCATCAAGTTTTTGACACCTTGCTAGGCGACTGGTGGTACTCGGATGTTGCCATATCCTAAAAGTGGTACAATGGGTGAAAAGGTTGAAAAGCCCTGGTTTAGTAGACCTAAGTGTTTAGCTTGCAGAAGAGAAGATTGAGAGGAAAATATGAGAGCTTTCTCCAAATACTTGGGGTTTGTCACATTGTAGAGACACAAGATTTATTTTTGCTTGCTCTAGAGGGTAAGATTAGGATGAATGGGATGAAAACACAGGGATGTAGATACGAGTTAGATTTTAGGTATCGTTTCTTGACAGTAACAGCTGTCAGTCAATAGACTAAGTATCTACATGGAGTATGGTAGTTGTTTTTTCTCCTGGAGATTTTCAGTGGTTGAGTCATCAGTTGATAGGACTGGAATAGTGCAAGGGATTGCAGTTGATTATATTTAGGTCCTTTCCAATTTTATGATTCTATGATTAGAAGCTTCAAAAAATAAGCTTTAATTTTCTTTTTATACTGATAGATATAATTGTTAACATTGTGGGAATTAGACTAAGGAAAAACTTAAAACCGTCCAAGAAGATGCAAGTTGCAAAGGCTGCTGAATGGAAGATAACAATGAAAAAAATTAGAGAAATATAGTAGCATAAGAATTACAGCACCAACTTGATTGGGTTGTTACAATAATGCAGATAGGAAATTTACATAGTTTTGCAGAATAAATTCTTCATTTATTACCAATACCTGTTTCAAAAAACATAAAGGCAGATTTTACATATAGACATAATATAAGTAGACAGATAGCACTGAAATCAGAGATTATGTATTAGGCATAGTAGAAAAAATCAATCTAGTCTGCCAGGGCATTTAATGGTATCAAGTAGATTAAATTTAAAAGTATTAATGGATGGTAGTAGTGGTAGCTACAATATGCCAGAAATATGCTGTCAGAGTATAAAATCAGTATAAAGATTCCATTAACTTATGTGAACTTGAGGAACAAAAGGAAGAAGAAAGAAATATCGTGAAAAAAATCCAATTAACTTTTAAAACAATGTCTTCAAAAAAAAGAGACTGGATGAAATATTAGGCAATAAAAAGATGTTTGATGATCAAATGCAAGCTATCAGCATAAAAAAGTAGGAACAACAAACAAGATAAAAACTTTAACAAGTCCTTCTTAACAAACTTAGAGAAATTGTTTGTTTTAACCAGTTAGCCATGTCTGACTCTGGATGACTTTATACGCAACTGATCTCCACGCTACCCTGTCAAGCATATTTTTCAATTGTTGGATGTTCAACTTTGCATCAGATTTGATGTTATCAAGCCAACCTGTTCTTTGCTTGCACCTTCTTCGTCCATTAACCATTCTCCTAGCATCATTGCCTTCTCTAATGAATTTCTACACATAGCATGAACAAAGTAAATCATACGTAGTCTTATGATTTTAGCTTTCAGTGATATGCAGTTTTATATGATTTAAACCTCTTTGTTAGTTGGTCTGGCTGTCTATAATATATGTAGTAACTTATACCAGCATACTTCAAAGGCATCAATTCTTCTTCAATCAGGCGTTTTTAGTGTCCAGTTCTCGCACCCATACATCATTATAGTGAAGACTATCAACCTAACTTGCTTTTTATATTGGTATCAATATCTCTGTTTTTCCATATCTTATTTTGTTGCAGTTCTACCTAAGATTATCCTGTGTTTGATTTCAGGAGGAGAACTGCCTCATGAACAATTTTGGATCCAAGAAAGGTAAATTCTTGAACAAATTCAATTTCCTCCTTGTTGATTTTAAAAATCTCATGTCTGTTGTCATTTGTTTCTCTGTTTTTTAGAGAAATTACAGATTATGGTAAGGTTGATTACAGGTAGTCCTTGAGATATAACCTGTCACATAATGGCCAAAGTTACAACAGAACACCCCCCCCCCCAAAAAAACCATACAACCCCATTTCAATGTGTCTGCAGTGTCCTTATGGTCATTTGCCCTTATGAATGACCACAGGGATGTGACTGCACATCTTTCTATTCCATCCCACCTTGCTGAGAATCTGCAGTGCTTCGACCCACTCCTCATGCCTCCTGGAAGCAGCTATTTTCAGCACTCTGACAATTCCTTGCAGAAATGGCAGCTGTTTTTAGAGCTTTTTGCCCTGATCAGGAGACTACAAGCCATTCCTGGCTTCTGTTGGCTCTGGGGAAGCCAGTCACCTGCATGGAAATGCAGTAGCTTCAGGATGAACTTTTTGCTCTGCTCGGAAGACTGCAAATTACTCCTGGCTCTTGCTAGATTTGGGGAAAACAGCCACATGGATGCAAAGATGACAGCTTCAGAATGTTCTCCAAACCTTTTCCTTGCTTACCCTCCAGAAATCCACATTTCTTCAATAAAACAAAACATTAAAGCTGGGAGGGATACCATTAGGTATTGAAATTAAACTCTGTCTCTGCCCTCCAATCCTGATCCCGTTCAACCACTTAATTTGCTACTTTTACTGAATGCATGGAGAGTGGCAAAATCTGTAACTTATCTTTATGAATGACTGCCAGGCTAAAGAACAGAGGAAAGGAAAGAAGTAAATAAAATATTTCTGCAACTTATTTGAGATAAGAAGTTGAAGAAAAAGTACAGCTCAGAAGAAAAAGTGACTAGAGTACAACACATGCAGCAAATAGATGGCTGTGGCGGAAGCAAGGTCCTTTGAAATCCTTTTGTTTCTTGTCTGACTCCCTTTAGGACCCAGCTTCAGCCAGTCATTTGCTGCATGTGTTGTGCTCTATCCACTTTCTTTTGAGCTGAACTTTTTCTTCTCCTCAATGTAAAGCAAGCTTCATTCTGTGTGACTTTGAAAAGCTCCAGAAGCTATGGAAGAGTACATCCCATTCTTACACAGCCTCTGAAAATTATGGGAGAAAGCGTAGGTTTTGAGAATAGTTGTTGTCAGGTGTTGGTAAACACTGGTGTGTCACCTTTGATGATGTTAACTTCCTGAAGAGATCAAAGGACTAGTCAGGAAAGAGAAAAGAGGAGACAAATATAATGTATCGCTTTATATAATGATTAAAATGCAAAAGTCTTAATATAAGGGTATATCAGGATTTTGCATAATTCTTTCATCTGTGCCTATTAAGAAATTGATTTATACATGTTTGAACCACAACCTAACCATTTTTACCTACCAAGTGAAGCACACTTAGTCCTGACTTTAATAGTTCAGTATGTTATCTATATTCAAAAAGAAACACTAAATACAGAATAATTATATAAATTATTAACCCATCCAGAAGGTACCCTCTTTTCCTTGGGAGGGGGAATCAAAGCAAGGATTTTTATTACTTATTTTTCAATTTTGCACTAAAGCATACATGTTCTTTAGACTAGTGTGCTAAAAGCTACTTTGGTATTTCCAGTTTTTGGAAACTGGCAATTTTAGTTGCATACAAAACCAGAGAGATTCAGCAATCATACCCATTAGTAAAAATCTAGCCAACTCTTAATGAGCTATGTGCCAAAAAGTAGGATGGCCGGAGTCTTAAAGTCAAATCATTGCTTCAAGCAGCCACTTTGCACACACTGCTGTTTTTTCAAGCATTATGAACTACTTGAAAACCTAAGTAGTTGAATGATGCTAGTGATATGCTAAAACAAAGATCTTTTTCAGTTGCTTGAGTATTAATGTTTCAGTTTTACACATTAATTAGGTAAGAAAGATCATAATTATTTTAAAGAAATTACAACTTTGTTTTCCAGCTCTATTGTGACATTTTGTAGATTTGCATTGTATCTAGGAAAAAATACACTGTGCAAAATGCATATCAATTATGAAATGAAAATAACTACAACACAAAAATTGTGGCCATAGTAAAAGTAATTCTGTAGTTTCTCAGATTTGGCATCTGAAAATATTCCCCACTTAGGTGAAGATCTTTTTAATCTTCAAGTATTTGTGAATGAAATTCAAACTATTGTGTCTCTTTCCAGATGCTTTTTGCATAACTATTCCATTATTTGTTCATCTCTAGGTTTCTTTGCTACAGCTGGTAAGGGAAAAGATAGCAAAATGTCATGTTTACACACTCTGATTCATTAGCACTTTTAGTGAAAAAAATGGGACAGCCACTATATAGTGAAGCACGTTCTTTCAAATGCCAATATAAATTAATTGATTTTACTTTTATTTATTTGTATCCTGCCTTTATTATTTTTACAAATAACTCATGGAAACATATCTAATGTATCTTCCTCCTATTTTTCCCACAATAGCTCCATGAGGTGAATTGGGCCAAGAGAGAGTGACTGGCCAAAGGTCACCCAGCTGGCTTTCATAGCTAAAGTGGGACCAGAACTCATAGTCTCCTGCTTTCTTAGCCAGATGACAGGGATATTCTCTCTTTAAAAAATGTTGGAGTTCCCAGAGCCAAGCTCTCTTCTCAGAAAAATTGCTCTCCTCCAGATCTTCCCAATACATAATTTACCTCCAGATTCTCAGATATAATTACTAGGCACATAAAAGTAACTTGCCAAAATTAATAATGTAAAGGATTGAAAAGCTTGACAAAGGAATTTTATCAGAGATTTTTCCATTACATTGTACTCAATAATTGTTCAGTGAAATCTTATTTTTTTATGGTAAGCACAATCCATCTGGATATTTCTGTCTGCAATGATCTGTAACTTTATTTTAATGTTTTTGTAAACATGAACTTTGAAAGATTCTGGAAATTTTTGCAAAAGCACATACACGTATCTTTTTCTGCTTTGGCTTCTTGTACATGATTCACCCAATGCTTCACTCCAGTTCGAAGTGAGGTCTTAAGATCCAAACCAGATCAGTTCTTTGTCCCATTTTGTTGGAAGCCACTGATCAGTGATCCCTGTTAATTAATTTATTGCATTACTTTTAAAATACTTTAATTTAAAACAAGCATGCTCAGCTGTTTTGGATCACATTCTCTCAGAATAAATAAATTCATAAAATGAAATTAGTATAACACACCACACACTTCTGTCAACATGTAATGCCCTGGGTTTATTTTGTGAGAGTTCTATCACAATTCCAGGTGGGATTAAAAATCTTAAGGATAACGTACGCCATCAGAATGGGCATTCAGACCGGTACTGACAAAGCACTAGTAGTAGAGTCCTAAGTACCATTCTCTTCACAGAAGAGAGGGCAAATATTTCCAAGAAAGGCACCCAACAGTTGTGGTTCTGGTCTTGCAGCCTTTTGGAGAATATTAAAAGAAAAGGGGTGGGGGTGGGGGAAGGAAAGCTGGCTGTTTTCAGAAATTGGAATGATGAGACATGTACAGCAATTACTGCATTCTTTTCCCTTTTAGCCTTTTTTTCCCCAAAGAGAACAAGTGAAGAATGAAGTCTTTAATAACAATTACACAATAAAAAAATATAATTTGTGATCAAAAGAATGGCAAGACAACATAAAACTCCAGTTGCAAGGACTCCATTTGCATACTTGATTTGACACCACTATTTTGGGTGCATTAAAAAATGGGACAACAGAGGGGGCTATATGAAGAGCAGCAACATAACTTTAGTGCTTTAAGTACCAGAAACTGCACACAAGTGAGCTAGTCAGTTGAATAGAATCCATGAGACTTCATTTTTAGCTTGTTACTTGCCTTGTGATTTTAAAGCAGGAAGATCATATTGAGTAGTACATTCCCCATTTTTAAACTGATGCCTTTTAAAAATTATGTATGTATGTCACCATTTTTCACATGATACACAAAAAAAACTCAAGGACCCAGAGGGGAAACCAAGTTATGTTAATACCATTTACAAAATACCAAGGAGTCCACAGCTACCTAACACATTTACTACAGCACAGGAACCAATGAAGGTACAGTGTACAAAAACTGTAAACACAGCACAATAAATAGATAAAACAGCAGGTTCCGCACCATGCACATGATGTCATGACACTTCATCTTTATACAATCTCACTTCTTACACTCTTACTTTGTTGCAATTCTCCCTCCCCCCTGCCCCAAGTGCAAAGCATCACAAATGAATGGTTCTGTATTCAAGTAACATATATACAAGGGTATTACAAATACGCAGTATTGTACAGATAATTGCTGTTATCTTAATTTACAGGTATTGATTTTTTCCTATTAACAGTAAGAATAGAAAAACCAAAGCATGAGAGATGTGCATTGCTGTCAAGTCCCCACAGCTGCCATGGAAATACAATATGCTGCATTCCATCATCCCTTGCATTCAAATTGCTACTGATGCATAGCACCTAAACAAGTTCCCAAAGATTGAAGTTTCGTTACTTTAGAAACTACGTCACCTCCATTGCTACTGTATTGTCTGCTATATTGTTCAGTGCTGACTTTTCTGTTTCATGGTTTTCCCTGAAATATAAAAGTAGAGAGAACACAAATACATTGGTTATCTAATTAGGAAAAAGCCACTCTTAAAAACATGGTAAAAGTGCTTATATTCCATCTTTGGAACCTCAGTGTAACGTAATAATATATTTCATTCCATTTTCAAATCTGTGTTGTCTCATATTTATGGAAACACTGTGTAAAAATAAACCATTTATATTTCAAACTGAGATTCTACCAATCTAAAATAAGTATTTAATAATCAATTTATTTTTGGATGGTCAATTCAACATATTCCTAAACATCTCCAAGAAAAGAATACTACCTGCAGATTTAATGAAGCTGGGATTGGATATAAGTAAATTAATCTAACATCATCCCCTCCAACCTCCAAATGGAGCAATAATGACAATATCAATAAAATTGATAAAAAGACAAATGTAGGATTCTTTAACTGAATCCTGAATATCTCTTGAAGAAATTAATGGAGAAATCTGGATTTTTTTCATTTGAGTTCCTATCTATAGCCCTGGAATTTTTAGGTAATATCCTATACTATTATTTAATGTCAGATTTATATCCTGCTTTTTGTTCAGGGGCTGAAGGTGGTATCCACAGCACTTCTTGTTCTCATTTTTCTGCAGAACAACCACCATGTAATGTAGTTTGATCTGAGAAAGCTCCCATGGCCAAGGATGGCCCAAGTCTCTTTGGAGCTATTCCAACAAGTTAATGATTACAGCATTACAGATTTTAATGTTGAAAATAAAAAAAGATTGGGGGGGGGAGACGATAGGCGGTAATTTTATCACATGCAATTATTATTTTCAGGGCTTGAACACATCAACCTTAATGTTGCAAGTATTACTACATACACATTTCCAAGTTGGAGGTATTAATATACTTAAGAGTACCCAAATCTACAACAAAAATAGAAAAATGAAAAACAAAACTGAGAATAAGATTAAAAACATAAAAAGTGAGATTTTTTAATAATCTTTTATAATAAATGAATAGGAGGTTTAAATTTTATTAAATGAAAGCAATGAAAATTAGAAGCTGTGAATTAATTAAGACTTTTCTAGGTGCTTTCTGTTCGGCAACACCAAAAAAGACCCCTTTTCTTTGGAAAATCAAGTTTTACAAAAGTAATCTATCCCACTTTTGATAAACTTATCATAAATGTATTCAATATTTCTAATTATAGAACTTCCATTTTCACTTTCTTAATGCAGAAGTTAGAGACAGTTTAAAAGAATTTTTTACTGATACTATTTTGCTTAGACATCCATAAAATTTTTCTTTTTCAACTTTTAAGAATTCAACATGACAGAGTATAAGAAAAGAACTTACCTTGGTATTGTGTCCACAGAGGATGAGGCTGGTACCTTGGGCACCTGACAGTTTGCTGCAGCCAGCTTTAAGGCAGATGATGGAACAGCATTTAGAGTCCTAGGTATGTGCCGTGCATTGAGCGTATTAATAGAGTTTGCAGTGGCAACAGATGAGGGTACAGTTAATCTAATGTTGTTCCCAAACAGAACCTGAGTTGTTGGAGAATTGGCAGCAGTTACTTGGTGACTCAGTGCACTGGGGGAACTTGAAGTCTGTGTTATATTTGAAGGCTGTAACAAGGCTGAACCTGCTGTTGATGAGCTTGTATGTACAAGTGCTGTAGGCGTGGTATTACTGAAGTGTAAGCCCTTATATACTCCTGTGAAATAAGAAAAAGTAAGTCATCCCAAATGACAATAAGCAGTTATTAGTTTAAGTCTCTCTTTCTCTTCCCCCACCCACATGCAATTATACTTTTTGACACTGCAATCATTACTTCTTACCTGAGGCTTGAAGGATGCCATTCACCCCAATTCCAAGCACCACATCATCCTTCATTTTGAATCCCATGAGCTGTTCTGATGTAACCAAGGCTGAAGCAGCAAACTGAGCACTGACAGAATCCAATGTCTTGGAACTAAAACCCTTTAAAAAAAATAACATCAAGCTATAAATCACACATTACAATAATGTACCGCTAAGCCCAACAATAGAAAATGGAAAAGTCACCGGTTTCTGTTAAGAGAAAGTAAGGAATGTTTTTTTTCAAAAAAATTCAAAACTACTCTATAGTATATAGTATAGAATGTAGAGAAGGAAATAGTACCCAATCCTAAGAGGAGTAACAACCACAAAAACATGCACTAAAGATCTACTTAAAAATCCCATTTCATTTTTTTCAAGCAAATACTTGATTAGTAGCATGAGTAAGTATATACAGAACCATAAAATTAATTATTGGTATTTTCTGAATATATAAAAAGGGTCTTTCACTGGAATTTTAAACTATATTATCTTATATTTTTAAAACACTTAAATAAATCAAGAAACTCAGTCAAATAATATATATTGTGATTATCTGCTCTAACCCTTAGTAAGTTAATTACTAATGAGATAAAAAGCTTTATTTTCTGAAAATATTGAAGACTTTAAAATGTATAATGTAGGGATTGATCTGTAAATTTATTTGAGGGTAGAAGAGAATGCAAATGTATAAAATGTAAATTAATTAGTTAGCTAGCATTCTTTAGAATATATGTATAGTGGTATCCATCAAGACTTGCCAGCAATAATGCAAGTTCTGTTCCTGAGGAATATGCATTCAATATTACGATATTGTTCACATCAAACAGACAATTCTTGTTTTCTTCCCTTACATATTTATAATGCTGAATCACCTCTTTTTCTGATACAAGGGGCAGCAGTATTGCCATCTATACTCACCTGTAGCATCACTTCTAAATACTAGCGTATGGCTAAGATGAAGATTCAAGCGAAAGCCATTTTTCTGTTGGTTAGTTGCAAGATGTTATGGCAACAGTTGAGAATTAAAGATGACCCCTGGTGGAAAAAATGAGGAATAAATCATAATACAGGCAATTCCCTCACCTGTGAAGCGTTCGCAGAATTACTATTTGCTTTCTGTTGATGAATTTGTGCAAGCTGCTGTTTCTGCATTAGTGCCAGTTGCTGTTGATGATGCTGGTATTGTTCGGCTGTAAATGCTGAACAAAATATAAAATGAGAGAATACTTTATCAAAATATGTAGACCTAATATGTGCATTCCTTAGTTTAAAGAATTCTATAAATGCACAGGTCTTAAGCATAGTACATTTATTTAGTACTCCAGCTCTAGTGGGATTTCATACTAACTGCACCTCCAAAATAAAGCTTGGTTGTAAACCATGCAGGATTAAACATCTGAACTGCTGTTATAGAACAGCAAATTGCTGTATTATGATTATCATAGTAGCAGAATTTCTGATACTCACATCAGCTAAAATGTATTGATAATATTGATATTTAACTGAGAATTTATATATATATATGTATATATGTATGTACGTATATTAGAATATAAATGGTGACATTGTAATAATTCAATTTCCCTCAATTAACCCACCTGGGAAAAAAAAATCCAGTCAATAAGAACGGAGTTGATTATGCTGATTTACAGAGGAATGAAGAAAGACTGTATTATACTATTTATTGTCTATGGAGAGTTCTAAAAATAGAAAATAGAGAAGTTTCATTGCAATTTTTGTTTCACTGCATCTTAATGAAAATCTCCCTAATGCCAACTTTTAAAGTGAATTTAGACAGAAGAATAAATTATAAACTTTGTTTGTACAACAATATGGCAAGTTTTCCAAATTCAGTTTGTTTTAAATACAAAAGTTTACTTTACTTTATTAGGTATTACTTTAGATTAAACTTCCTGACAGAAAATTAAAATTTATAATCTACTTTTTAATTTCATACACGACAGCACAATACAGATTTCATGCCAAGTTTCAAAAACAGATTACTTATGTATCATTTTGTATTGCACTAATCAATACACATAAAATGATCTAAGAGATTGTATTTATGAAGGTTTAAGTTAATCAAAATTCTATGGTGCACCATAGACTTTTGATTAACTTAAACCTTTATAAATACAATCCCAAGCTAACCTTCATAGGACTTTTGCCTATCTATAGGTCTAAGTGTATTCCAATGTAGAAAAATGTCAGAGTTTTTGAGTTTTATTTCCTTTCTCTCACCCCAGATATCAAGGAATGATGGTTTTTAGGCTTTAAATTGCAGCAAAAACATTTAGGTTTGAAACAGATTTGGCTGGATGCAGCCTTAATATTAATCTCTTTAAATATTGTATAACATACAATTATGCTAATATAACTGTTTGTGGTATTGACTTTTGAAATATGGAATGAAAGTCCTATACAAAAATATTGTTAAGAATACAGTAGTGGAAGAAATTCATCAGGATAATATCTAATTCTTAATTCCATTCCACTGAACAATGTATACATAAGAAAATGTGTGTATTTGAAAGCTGCAGCATATATCAGGTGTTTATTGGACAAAACCTAATATAAATTAACTTCCAAATAAAAAATACTTATGCAGTATTTCTTATCACTGTTCACGTTGGTAGCCTTTCTTCATCTGATTTCATAGCTTATATAGACTCACAAAAGAGAATAAGTAATAGGTTAACTGTACTGGTTATAACACAAAGAGTTCCTTAGATTTTTTTTTCATTTTAAATAAATGGATTCTGATCTGTATTAAATTGCTATTGAAAAGTTTGGTTTCAAAAATGATTTTTCATGTGACAAATGAAACAATGGTTTCAGATGTGTACACCAAAATTATATGGAATACATAAATCTGGTATATTTTCCTCCAACAAAAAACAATTTTATATGTAGGGGTTTTTTTTGTTCCAGCTCATATAAATTCACATGTATAATTTAAAAAAAAAATTTCTTCCCCTAAGTGTATATGTCTGAATTTTAAAATATAGTTTTTAAATGCTTGATTCTAAATAAAATTAGGATACTTAGGTTCATTCAGGGATGCCCATCTTTGCATGCATGTCTGAGGATTAGAAGTATGCAAATTGAAATGATCAGTGTAGAGACCCTATTGCAATGTGCACAATTAGTTGATTATGATAGTTTTAAATTGTATTAATTCAATTTGTATAGTTACCCATCTCAAACCAATGATTCTAGGAATTTATTCTAATAATTTTCTTCCTATATATTTTATCTCTCAGCTACTACTGGTATATCTTTCATAAAAGGCTTTCAATTAAAACCACCTTCTATCTACATATTTTAATCTCAACATGTTAAATTTGAATCATGCCTGAAATTTGTCTCAACAAAAATGTTTACTTTTTAGACTTGTGGTTCACAATATTTTGCATTTTAAACTTTGTACAAGTAGTCCTCAACTGACAACCACAACTGAGTCCAACATTTCCATTGCTAAGCAAGACAGTTGTTCAATGAGTTTTGTCCTGTTTTATGATCTTGCTTGCCAGTTCTTAAGTGAATCATTGCAGTTGTTAAGTTAGTAACATGGTTGTGACCTGAGTTTGGCTTCCCCATTGACATTGCTGGTCAAAAGGTTGCAAAAGGCGATCAATGATCCTGGGACACTGCAACCATCATAACTATGAGACAAGTTGACAGATATCCAGATTTTGAGTACGTAACTACGGAGATATTGCAATGTTTGTAAGTGTGAAAAACAATCGTAAGTCACTTTTTTCAATGCCATTGTAATTTTGAAAAGTCACTAAATGAACTGTCGTAAGTTCAGGACTACCTGTTTATCAAGCTATTTCCAACATTTTGGAAGTGCTCCAAAGTTAAAACAGCTTTGTTCCAAATATAAAGTATTCTGTTTTGAATTTGAAACTTTTTTTTAGAAACATTTCAGGATAGCCCATTGAATTTGGCTTAATTTGAAACATTGTCTTGGTGCTAAACTATGTAGGGTTTAGGCAGAAGCACACATTATCTGTGCAGATTTTATTGAGGAAAAAAGCAGTGCAAATAAACACATGAAAACTGCCCTGAAGAATATGCTTGCAAAACATCTTGATTTTAAAGAATTTATAAAATCTGATTATTTTATTTGCTTTTTCTCCTGTATGAATTATTTATAATTTAAATATTACAAAACCTGAGAAAATACTAATAATCCAGTGTTTTTATTGTATTGTACAGTTTAACAAAATGATTAAGAGAATAATGATTCCTATATGTGGAAAATATTTTTCATCTACCCAATGAAGCTCATTTGGTGACTTTGGGCCAATGGTACTTTTTCAGCTCATGTGAGATTATGTCAATAACAAATCAGAAAACAATCTTTGCTAATCTAAAACTAATCTAGATCATAGAGAACAAAATGGTTTATTAAAAGTTAAGGCAGTAAATGAACTGCAGTAAATGATCTGCTTCTCGAACTGCCTCTATGAAAACACAATATAAAGGCAGTAACCTGTTTCTGGATCATTGCCTTTATCAGACTACCATAAGAAGACAGGATATTACCATGACAGCAAATGAGTTTTTGTCTTGGACAATTAAACATCTCTTAAGTTTGTACAACCTTTCAGATCAGAATGCTACTTAAGCTTTCAGTTAAGGGATTATTTCTGCAGTGAGATCAAATAATTTATACAATTATAGAATATATACAAACATTTTAAAAGACTGCCTTAAATAGGTGTGATCACCCTATTTGCTAAGAGCTCGGTAAGAGGACCCAGATTGTTGGGGGCAACGTGCTGATTCTGTAAAAATCACTTAGAGAGGGTTGTAACGCACTGTGAAATGGTATATAAGTCTAAGTGCTATTGCTATTACATAGAAATTTAATCATTTGATGTGAATGATCATAAAAACTAAAGTTTAACTTCAGTGTACGTTGTAAATACATACTGTTTTTAAAATTAAGATTTGGATCTCAATATTGTTCAATGTTTAAAAACATTCTTTATTTCAAGACTTTTCCTCAAATACTGTGGATGGTTTTAATTCCCATTTTGTTTTCACTTTCCCATAGATAAAGGTTTCCCTCTATAATTGTGCCCAATTCTAGGGAGAGATGCTCATCTGTTTCTTAGCCAAGGGAGCCAGAGTTGTCTGAGCTATAAACTTCCAACCAAAGCAGTGTCTATTTATCTATTTGCGTTTGCATGCTTTCGAACTGTTAGATGGCCAGGTGTTGGGAAAGGGTCTTGAACCTGGACCATCAGCTTTCCAGCTCACAAGCTCAGTGTCTTTAGCGGCTGAGTCATCATACTCTTCTCATTTTCCAATATTCAGGCATAATTGATTGATTAAAATTTTTCTACTTGTAACTTCTGTTTCCAGATGGTTTTGGTAGAGAGGATACTGTTCCAAAGGGGAGTTATGACAAAAAAGAAGGCTTACTTATGGAGTCTCTAAGATGCTGCTGCTTTGTTCATGAGTCTCATAGGATAAGATCTTTTTAGATCTTATAGGATGGACCGAGAAAAGTGCTGTCCCACAGATATTCAGGCCCTATATCCTGAAGGAATTTTTAGATGATCAATAGGACCTTGAATTGTTCCCAGAAGTCCACGATGCAGATTAAGGAGCAGCAGTGTTACAAGAGTTTTATAAACAGCCTAGACCGTAGTTCGGCAACCTGCGGCTCCGGAGCAGCATGCGGCTCTTTGAGCCTTCCCCTGCGGCTCCTCCTCTGCCATTTGCAGGGAGAGAGAGAGAGCCTTCTCTCTCTCTCTCTCTCTCTCTGTGTGTGTGTGTAAAAGAGAGAGTGGCCTCACCTGTTCCACGAGCTGACAAGTTATTGGGCAGGGCTCTTGCCTTGGCTGCGTCTCTGCAGGAAGCAGGAGAGAGCTAGCTAGCCCAGCTATGCTGACTCAGGAATTCTGAGAGTTGAAGTCCATGAGTCATAAAAGAGCCAGTGTTTTGCTTTCGGTGGGAAACGGGTCCAAGTGGCTCTTTGAGTGTTTTGGGTTGCCTACCCCTGGCCTAGACTCTGAGTAGTTGGATGGCCATATACATTTTCATAAATGAATTAATAAATGGTGTGTTGGGCTGGACCTGTAATTACTCACACCAGAGCATTATGGATTAGCTAATTTCCTAGTAGTCCTCAAGTACAAGCCCAGATAAAACACAAAGCATTAATTTGACAAAATGACTAAGCATGAGTTTCATTAAGAAAGACCTCTTGATCCACAATGGCATGATTACAAAAACATATTCTTCCTATGACATTTTTCACTGAATAAATAGCAGTTTACTGCCACAAATGAATACAGTTCACTACAAGCTAGTATTTTATATCTTGTTTTCAATTTAGGTTGGAAAATAAACACAAACAATTTGCCATATTCAGTACCATCTGCAAACTGTGGCTTTTCTGAATAATGACAAATATGAAATTGGATTGTAAAAATGGGAAGGGGAAAATTGCATAATTTGGAAGCTTTGTTTCAAGTTATATGACTGAATTGTAACATCAAAAGTCCTTACTGCACAATGTGAGACAACCAGCCTATGAACCAGGTTTATAAAAATTGTAGAATATATTTTAAATTATTTCAGAGTTTATAGTCAAATTCTAGTTTTTCTTTAGTTATAGTTTCTAATGTTTCCTAGTTATGCAAGCTATTTATTCCAGGCGGAACAAAAAAAATAACAATACAGCAGCAGGCAAACTCATTACAGCAGGACAGGCAGCTATAATGAAGATCCGCCGAGATAAGACAAATATGTTGAAATGGTTTTCTTTGGTGGTTTAAGAGTTCTAACTTATTTTATATTCATATGAAATATTATTCCAATATTATTATTTTATATTCATATGAAATATTATATCCTCATACTTCTGTCTGGAATCAATATGTAATTCAAACAGTGATGAAATTAGTTATAAAAATAAGCTTTGAGTCTTACATGGACTTGATGCATTATTAAAGTCATAAATAACAATTATAATAAACAAAATGATTCAACAACTGAAATGACCAAAAGTCTTAATAAAATTGCTACGGCCATTATTATATACATCTTTTTATTCATCCATGTTAGAGATGATTTCCTTGTCTTTTATTTAAAAAACAGATATCCAGTGCTACAGAACCGTTCCAACATAATTTAAAAGGGGTTTATATCAGTTACAGAAGATAACAAAAGACGATGACCACAATTGAAACATTACACTCTCAAGATTTACATTTGCAAATTACATATTTAACCAATACAAATCTTAGCAATTGCTTCCAAAATTCTATAGCAATGTGCTTCAATGAAAAAGGCCATATCCTTCTTAACTGTATCCCAGGTTGCTTGACTCATCAAAGTTTACAGTTTATAAATATAATTCTGAACTTCCCAAAAAAATTTCCCTCACTGTAGTCTTAAAATAATATTCCTGTTCATTTTTAAACATCATTTATAAGACTTTTTAAAAAAAAAACAAGATCCTTTTACAAGAAATCAGGATAGAATTGCATCCTTTCAACATATAATGGCTTCTCAAAAACAAACAAACAAAAATTATTTGTACCATCTCTTTAAGATCTGATTAAATGGGTATTTACACTGCCAAAGGGCTATAGGCTGGAGAGTTTTCAGTAGTGATCTCTAAAACTTTTTGTGCTAATAAAATATAACTGATAAGTTGGTCTTTTAAACCAGTAGGACTTTTCATAATTGTGTATATCATTAAATTTTGGATTTTAAGTGTTGATGTTTTGAACATTTCAAATCAATTCCTTATTTTGCATTCTTAATATCAAATTATAAATGGTCAAAACTGATAAATATAAATAAAATAACAAAAATAAATAAGAAATGTAAGGAATGGTCTCTATAAAATTCTACTAAAAATTTGAAAACAAAATGGATTGAATACAGCTATAATTACAGTATAGCTATAATTAAAGTACAAACTAAATCTGAACCAGATTTACTATATCAATCTTTAACTTTAGCATGGCATTTAAACATGCAGCACAAACGTCAGCCACTACGGAAAAATATGGAAAAAATAAATAAAAATTAGGCTTTCGGCAACAATACTTTTAGAATTATATTTGTCAAAATCAACATACCAAAGTGTGCTGCACCACTGGTATCTTTACTTTGAATAGAGGTACTGCATATCTGGGTCCCAGGTTGTGCTGTGCCTGCTCGATTAACACTCCTGTGCAATTTCCTATATGAAAGTTCATCATTATCACTGTCATGTAGGGTTGGTGTCCGAGGCCTAAAATGACGCCATCTACGTGATTTGATATTGACTAGTATCTGACTGAGGTCTTTAGATAAATATCTGTCCGAGGTATTTGTTTCTGAGGTATTGGCAATTTGATTGACTGAAGAGTGTGAGGAAAGTGTTTCTGAATCCAGCTGACAGAATGCACTATTTTTCTCTGAATATGCTCGGTCCAGGAGCACCCTAAAAATGGAAAGAAGATTATTTTTAATCATATACTAGCCAACGTGTTATTCCTATCTACATCCAAACATTATTTTTAAACTGTTAAAAAAAATAGCAAGGAAATTCTGTGTGAAAATATTTTTCGAACTGGCTGTTTCAACCACTGTAAAAACATTTACAAGTGGGTTATATACAATTTGAAAATTATTTGGAAGAAATAGTAAGAGCCCCTATAAAAGCCCTCTATTGCCCTTCTACTTATGTCTCTTTTCATACTTTCACATAGCATGAAATAAGACGTTAATACTTAAGGGATAGACTAAAACGAATTTCTTAATGGGAATTAATAATAGCTTATGGAGAAAGAAACCTGGTGTTTTTTAAGGTATGGTAAAGAGATTTTATGCTTGGCAGATCATTTTTAAATAAGTTCAGACCTATTTAAGAGTTACAGGACAGTTAAGCGAGTTTTGCCCCATTTTGCAACTTTTCTTACCAAAGTTGTTTAAGTGAATCACTGCAGTTGTTAAGTTAGTAACATGGTTATTAAATAAATCTGGATTCCCCATTAACTTTACTTGTCACAAGGTTGCAAAAAGTGATCACACGATTCTGGGACCCTGCAACTATCATAAATACACACCAGTTGCAATGTGTCCAAATTTAGATCCCATGACCAGGAGAATACTGCAAGTCAGGTTGACAAATTCTAATCTGCTACATGAATGCTAATTTCCTACTTGAAATGAAACAGGACAATATTTGTCTATTTGAACCAAATGTCAAACCATTATAAATGGATATTGGCACATAAGTGGTTGATTGTACCTTAGGATAGATTAGGACAGCAAAACCAAAGAGCAGTCTGGATAGATGTCACTATTAAAAAAGTATACCAGAATACCAGAAGTACTTTCACTGCTCAAATGCATGCAAAATTTACTAAAAAGTCATCTTTTTTCTTTCTTTAAAAACTAATTGATTCTTATTGTGAAGGTAATACTTTATAATTTGAGGATCACAAACAAATTTAAAACGTATGGTAATTAGACCTAATAATATCAACCTAATAGGGACAAAAGGCTAAGATAGTTAGAGAATGATTATTCTGAAAAATCCAGTTTGAATTAAGATAAAAAAGAGCCCTCATCCTTTTAGATCTAGAAAAAATAATCCAGGTCTTAAAAAGTAAACATAAATACAGATAGTCCTTGACTTGCAACCTTTCTTTAATGACTGTTTGAAGCTACAAGAGCATTAAAAAAGTAACTTATGACAATTTTAAACTTCGACCAAAGTCAGTAGGGAACCCAGATTCACTTAATAATTAACTCAACAAGTGCAGCAATTCACTTAACAACTGTGGCAAGAAAGATCATAAAATAGGGCAAAATTCACATAACTGTCTCACTTAATAAAAGGAATTTTGGACTCAATTTATAAGTCGAGGATTATCTGTACTTAAAATATTTTAGAAATTACATCACTATGCACAAAAGATGGTGTATTCTTCTTACAAGCTTCTAAATTGAAACAATTTTGAATGTGATGACATTCAAAGTAAATTATGGAGACTTGTCAAGGAGATTTCATTGCAAAATATGAACAATGCTAAATGCTAAAATATATATACTTCTTTCCAAGTTGTTGTGCATCTGCAGTAGTAGCAATGTAAAATACCTTTATACCTAATTTTTATAAAGTAAAGCACTGCTGAAGGTTCCAGATTAGCTGGATAATATTCTTTAAGAAAAATAATTTATTACATACTAAAATTAATGTTACAAAACACATGATAAAAGAATCCAGACAAGATATGATTAAATTACTATTTTGCCACAGAATCTTAGTAAAAATTACTAATGTAATTTAATGTTGATTTTTATATAGTCTATAGAAAAAAAAGTTTGTTGTTAGTTGCGAAGTTGTGTCCGACCCATCGTGACCCCCATGAAAAACGTTCCTCCAGGCCTTCCTGTCCTCTACCATCTTCTGGAGTCCATTTAAGCTCACGCCTACTGCTTCAGTGATTCCATCCAGCCATCTCATTCTCTGTCATCCCCTTCTTCTATTGCCCTCAATCTTTCCTAGCATTAGGCTCTTCTCCAGTGAGTCCTTCCTTCTCATTAGGTGGCCAAAGTATTTGAGTTTCAACTTCAGGATCTGGCCTTCTAAAGAGCAATCAGGGTTGATCTCCTCTAGGACTGACCGGTTTGAATGCCTTGCAGTCCAAGGGACTCGCAGGAGTCTTCTCCAGCACCATAGTTCAAAGGCCTCAATTCTTTGTCGCTCAGCCTTTCTTATGGTCCAATTTTCACATCCATACATTGCAACTGGGAAAACCAGGGCCTTGACTATACGCACTTTTGTTGGCAGGGTGATGTCTCTGCTTTTTAGTATGCTGTCTGGATTTGCCATAGCTTTCCTCCCAGGAACAAGCGTCTTTTAATTTCTTGGCTACAGTCCCCATCTGTGGTGATCTTGGAGCCCAGGAAGATAAAATCTGTCACTACCTCCATTTCTTCCCCATCTATTTGCCAGGAATTGAGAGGGCCAGATGCCATGATCTTGGATTTCTTAATGTTGAGTTTCAAGCCCACTTTTGCACTCTCTTTCTTCACCCGCATCAAGAGGCTTTTTACTTCCTCTTCACTTTCTGCCATTAGAGTGGTATCATCTGCATATCTTAAGGTTGTTGATATTTCTCCCGGCAATCTTAATTCCAACTTTTGATTCATCTAGCCCTGCCTTTCTCATGATATGCTCTGCGTATAAGTTAAATAGGCAGGGCAACAGTATATAGCCTTGCCGGACTCCTTTCCCAATTTTGAACCAATCAGTGGTTCCATGTCCATTTCTCACTGTTGCTTCTTGACCACATATAGGTTTCTCAAGAGACAAATAAGATGGTTTGGTATTCCCATCTCTTTAAGAACTTGCCACAATTTGTTGTGATCCACACAATCAAAGGCTTTAGCATAGTCAATGAAGCAGAAGTAGATGTTTTTCTGGAACTTCCTACCTTTTCCCATGATCCAGCGCATGTTGGCAATTTGATCTCTAGTTCCTCTGCCTCTTCGAAATTCTGCCTGTACTTCTGGAAGTTCTCGATCCACATACTGCTGGAGTCTAGCTTGTAGGATTTTAAGCATAACTTTACTTGCATGTGAAATGAGTGCAATAGTGCATAGTTCGAACATTCTTTGGCATTGCCTTTCTTTGGAATTGGAATGTAAATTGATCTTTTCCAATCCTGTGGCCACTGTTGAGTTTTCCAAATTTGCTGGTAAATTTGAGTGTAGGTCTTTTACTGCATCGTCTTTTAAGATTTTGAATATCTCAGCTGGAATACTGTCACCTCTACTAGCTTTGTTGTTGCTCAGCTTTCCTAAGACCCATTTCACTTCACATTCTAAAATATAGGATGTCTGGCTCGAGGTCAGTGACCACCCCATCGTGGTTATCAGGGACATTAAGCTCGTTCTTGTATAGTTCTTCTGTGTAATTTTGCCACCTCTTCTTAATTTCTTCTGCCTCTGTTAGGTCCCTGCCATTTTGATCCTTTATCAAGCCCATCTTTGCATGAAACGTTCCCTTCATATCTCCAATTTTCTTGAAGAGATCTCTGGTTTTCCCTATTCTATTGTTATGCCCATGGAAATCATTTTATGAGAAATCAAGCTGTTTCAAAGCCTACCTATATGTTTTCTGGTTATATACATAAACAAAGATGATCTTAGAAGACCCTCAACGCGTGTACACCTTTAAGCAGAAGATGCACAGATCCACAGGGAAGAACCTATTCTCAAGAAGTATGAATTACCATACCTAAAACTTCCATACCGAAGAACTATCATAGATTTCAGGGTCTTCTTCCCATTATTTTCTGATACTTACACAATGCAATGACATACAAAATATAATTAGTGCTAGCCTTTAAAGGATTTAAAGGGAAAAGAGAAGAAGAAAAGTCACAATAAAGCTATTTATAACAGAAGGGAGAAGATCATAATCAAGTCAAAGATATAGATTAAGAATACGGATATCTAATTAAAATTTATGTACTAATTTAAGTAACTGAGCAAACATGTTACAACTACATTTCAAAATGCACATTTCATATACAATATGGTATTACTGTACTTTTAAAATAAATAAGCCTACCTTCCACCACGTCCAACCCGTCTACGTGAAAACCCAATGCACCTTTGCGGCCTAGTAAGGGTGGTTAAGCAATATCTATAACGCTCATCTCCTAACGTTCCCCCTTTAGGAGTACTCCAAGGCCAGTCACCAGTTTGGTCTAAACGAGGCTTTGAAAAGAAATATTTGAAAAGGGTTAAAACAAAAGTTTAATTAATATAAGTGTAAAAATATAATACTGTAGAAATTCGAGACTTACAGCGTAATACTGACAGCCTGCTTTCCTACGGAAAGCAAATGGCCCATCAGGATCATTTTCTTCCTCAGCTTCAGAAGAGCCAGAAAAGACCTTTAAGAAGAAAACAGTAGATAAGAAAAAGGAGGCAAAAATATTTTTTCTCCCTGAACAAAGGACTGTAGATGCCATACTTGAGAAAGAGGATCTTCATCAGAGCTGGGAAAGTCATACTGATTCATATCTTTAGCATTAAAGATTGGCAGTGAAGCAGGAATTGTCTGCTGAGAAGCATTAGCAGCCGATGAAGGTACAATTTTGGGCTTCTTCTCATACTTTCTCTTCGGCCGTATAGCATCGGCTTTCTCTTGCTGCATGAAGAGAAAATTAATTAATAGTTTTATGTAACTTGATACATCCTAACCATTAGGACATGGCTGGCTCAGGAATTCTGGGAGTTGAAGTCCATAAAAGAGCCAAGGTTGCCTATCCCTGCATTAGGAGAAGCTGTAGGTTTTAGAAGATTTTTTTTTAAATGCACCATTGTGATGAGAGGGAAAGAGGAATCAAGTTGACAGTAAATCATGGTTGATTTTATGAATATTTCTAATAAGAATTATTTTATTTTTTTCAACTTTACAATCAAAACCATAAAACTACCTGGGATTTAAGCAAAGGTTTCACTTTGCTTAGATTTTCAAGATCAACCAGGATTAATTCATAGGAAGCTTTAACATAATGGACTATCAAAATTGTTTACCACAGTGGTAAGTGGTAGCTACCTAGAGTTATCTTGAAGTCTTTTGGAATGAAATTAAGAACTTACATGGTTTAAGCATATTTATGGCATAAAATTACAAATAACATTTTTTTTCAAATAAGTAGTATCTATAATCTTGGATGGATGAATGGATAGATAGATAGTCAGAGTCACCTTGTTTATTTTAAATTCTTTCAATTCCATATTTTCCTGATGTTTAAACTGAGTGCTATTAGGAACTATTCCAACAGGAATTGTATAGGTAGGCTTCATATGCTGTCGATGTATCATTACTTCAGACATGATCTCTCCATTATAATCACCCAACTTATATCTGGAAAGTAAAAAAAAAAAAAAACGTTTGAATTTACTAGAACTAATGTTAAAGTCAGGCACAAGAAATCAAAAGCCAGGATAGAATTCAAAAGTACTACAAATTTATTCCATGCTACCTATACACAAGAATCAGGTGTACTAAAGGCCAAGATAAGAGTCAATGGAATTCACATGGGGGCTAGACTTGAAAGTCTCTGGTGTTAGCACAACTCCAAACTGATGATGTATTTGATGCCACCCTTGGGCCCAGCCTGGTCATCTCCTACAGTTAGTTTATATACTTAATGTTTATATCTTTATTCTCTCAAGAACCTACTTCAGCATTTCCCTATCTGGGCAATCTCCAGATACATGGAATTTATTTCCAAAATTTCCCATCAGTGTGGACATTGTTGACAATCCAGGAGTTCAATTTTTTTACTGGAAACTGCCCATACTGAGAACTACTGATTTAGAAGCAAGTGTTACATCAAGTCTTAAGAAGAAACATTTCATTACAGAAATACTCAGAATATACATTCTGAAAGGATGATTGCAGTAAGCATGCAAAACCTTTCAAATCTGAAGTGTTCCAAGGTCAACATATATCTTTTCAGTTTTGGAAAAAATATCACTTTCAAAAAGAGCTGATCTGACTTCACAGTTGTTTTAATGCTGCTTTCAACTTGACAAAAGCATTCTAAGCTTGAAACAACCAAAGATTTTAGAATATTAAATATTTTACACACCTCAGATAATAGTGAGAATATTTTGTCAATATTTTCAATTTAAAAGTGTAATAGATCTTTAATGGTATTATTTAAAGCAAATAAGACTTACTTTACTTTGGTCATTTCTAGTATTATCATGGATTTCATAAATATTATAATGAATCATTCTCAGCATCTTTGTTTAATAGAGAATCTATTGTATTTTAAAAAATATTTTAATACAGCGGCCTCCAACCTTTTGGGCATCAGGGACCAGTCCTGTGGAGAGAGGTTTTTCTATGGCAGTGGTTCTCAACCTTTTTAATGCCGCGACCCCCAACCGGTCGTAAGTCGAGGACTACTCAACCAGTCATAAGTCGAGGACTACTCAACTGGTGCAGCATCGTTTGCAGAATGGGACTTTTGGCGGACTCAGCAGGGCAGAGACAGCCTGGACAATTCCTATTGACTTTTGAAAGCCAATAGAATTAGACTCTATTCAAGAGAGTCTATTCTATTGGCTTTCAAAAGCCAATAGAATAAAAGGGAGTAGCACAGCTAAGGAAAATGGGAAAAAAATGGCGGATTGCGTTGTTTGGCAACCCCCGTGAAATGGTTATTTGACCCCAAATGGGATCCTGACCCACAGGTTGAGAACCACTGTTCTATGGTATGGAGGAGGCGTGGTTTAGTGTGCTGCATGCATCCCCGGATGTGGCTTTGCTTGTTTGCACAGCCCAGTTTCTTGCATACTGTGGACCAGTGCCGGTCCAATGACTGGAGGTTGGGGACCTGTTTTAATACATCTCAAATCAAGCAACATGCCCCCTTTAGAATGAAAAACAATTCTCCCCTGCAAATTATTATATGCCTTTCATTTATGTAATTTCAGATAGATGCCTAAAGTTGATTGATTTCAAAATTGCAAAGGACATCCTTCCTGTGATACTAACTTATACTAAACCAAGTTAACTTATCTGCTACCTCAATAAGGTGGGGTCCAATTGCTACTGCCTCTCAAGGACAGAGAGGAATATTTCCAGTCCTATTTGGAGGCAACAGGATTGAATGTAGGACATCACGACTTGTCAAACTCTAATAATCCTTTTCTCCAAAACAGTAAGATTTGCCAACAATAACCAAAAAGCTGTTCGATAATCTAAAACACTGCTTTTATCCCCATACTCACATATTTGGTGATGTACTACATACAAATGTGAAATAAAAATCTATTACAATTTCATAAAATATTATCTATTTGCCAATTTAATAAACTGTTTATTTAATAATAATAATTGAACTGTTTCAAAATTGAACTGTTTTACCTCTTTTCCATAATTTCCAATGTTAAATGCAGCAATTCTCTCTTGCTTTTTTCCCTTCTCTTTATCATCTCTAGAATTGTTACTGCACGACTCAGATCCCGTCTCAGTTTAAGCATTTTTTCATAAGAAGTTTCATCATTCTTTCGATTCTGCAAAATGTGGTAAATGTAGAAATGAAACATATTTTAGACACCAAAATATTAAATATTTTCAGTCCTGTTTGTTGTGAATATTTATTTTTCAAACACAAATCTGAAATATTTATTTATAAAGACTCTTATGTTAAAAAAAATTGCAATATTACAGTACAAAAATGCAATAGCCAAACTAATTGTAGATTAATAATTTATAATTATTAACAATGCTCACAATAATCCCAGATACAATGAAGTTACAACTTTTTAGTCCACAAATGTTATTTGGAATTGCCATGCTTTTAAGAGATTCATAATCATTTATAGCAGTGGTGGCGAACCTTTTAGAGACCAAGTGCCCAAACCACAATCCAAAACCCATTTATTTATCGCTGCGTGCCAGGTGGGCGTGGCCTCGGTGGTCACGGCTGACTGGATGGTGGGTGTGGCCACCTTGATGGTGTTTGTGGGGAGGGGTGCTTGTGGGGGCCGGGCAGGGCTGGGGGACGATCCAGGGGGTCTCTGGCAGGTGGGGCGGTGGACTGGAGGCTCATCCTGTGGAGTGAGGCAAGGAGAGGCAGGGCAGATGTGCCAATTGCCGCGGGTCAAGGCAAGGCAAGGGCTGGAGCAGCTGCTGCCTGACACCATCAGCCCCCCCCCACACAGAGGCCAGCAAGCGCATGGGGGCCACTAGTGTCCGTCAGCAGCCACAGCCTCCTGCATCATGGCAGCCCCATTGGTGTGAGCAGAGACGGCCAGAAAGGATGCCCTCACCTGGTGCAGGTCCTGTCTACATGGTGGCTCTGATGGGGGCGGCGGCTGCTGCTGCTCTGCCCAGTCAGCCCTGCAAGGAAGCAGAAGGGGCAGCTGGTGTGCAAATCTGGTGCGCCAGGCTGCTAGTAAGTAGCCGAGATGGCTCCAGACCCCCGGCTGCCCCTCCACCTCCTCCTGCTTCCCTGCATGGCTGACCGGTCAGAGCAGCAGCTGAAGCCATCCCCATCAGATTCGTCGAGTGGATGCGCCCAAGCCAGGAAAGGGCTTCCTCCCCCCATAAAACGGCGAGAAGTAAAACCTTTCTTATTACGGCTTAGTTCACAACCATAATAAAAAAAAAACCTTTGTTCCCGAGAATTTTTTTCCTAGCACCCAGGCAGAAGAGTGGAGCCCCGAGGCAAGTGTCCCGGAGCCGTTTCCGCCTGCGTCTTTCTCATTCTCAATTCTATTGCCTGCGTGTTGTCTGCACCCCACCCCAATTGCTCTACGCTTCGCAGCCCAGGGAGTGAGATTCACCCCCCCCACCTCAGGGCCCGTCTCTTCTGCCTGGTGCTGGCAGCTCCATCATCCGCAGCAGCCGGAACAAGAGATGGGTCACAACAGCCCATTAATCTTTTTGCTGCATCAGCACCTGGGGGCTTGCTATTTTCCCCCCCTCCACCCAAAAATCTAGGTCGAGGTGCAAACCCAGCTCATATGCCTTTGCTCAGAAGGAGCAACTTATTATGGTTGTGAACTAAGCTGTAATAAGAGAGGTTTTACTTCTCGCCAATTTATGGGGGGGGGGGAGGAGGAAGCCCTTGCCCGGCCTGGGTGCATCCACTCGACGGATCTGATGGGGGTGGCTTCTACTGCTGCTCTGACCAGTCAGCCATGCAGGGAAGCAGGAGGAAGTGAAGGGGCAGCCGGGGGTCTGGAGCCGCCTCGGCTGCTCACTAGCAGCCTAATGAGGCAGCAGATTCGCGCACCAGCTGTCCCTTCTGCTTCCCTGCAGGGCTGACTGGTCAGAGCAGCAGCAGAAGCCACCCCTGTCAGATCTGTCGAGTGGATGCACCCAGGCCGGGCAAAGGCTTTCTTCCAGTTATCCCAGAGCAATTTCCGCCCGTGCCGATAGGGCTCTGTGGCCAGTCTGCCATTATGCAAGACAGCCAGCATGCTGTGGCTGCTGACATACCTTGTATGCCCCCATGCGCTCAATGGCTTTTGGGGGGGGGGCGATAGTGTCAGGCAGCAGATCCGGAAGTGAAGCTCTGCTGACCATCCTCGCGCTGGTGGCGATGGCGGCGAGGGAAGGCAGGATCTGGCATGCGTGCGCTTCCAGGCGGGGAAGGGAAGGTGTCTGCCACAGCTCACCTTCCCCCACCACTGCCTCTACCAGTGCAAGGATGGTCGGCAAAGCTTTGCTTCCAGATCTGCGGCCAGCCAGGCTTGGTGATGCAGGGATCACTGTCGCCACCTCCTCCTGTTCTCTCTGTGGTTGGCCAGTCAAGGGGCAAAAAAGCAGCAGCCGCCACTCCCGTCACAGCCATTCTGTAGACAGGACCCTCACCAGGTGAGGGCTCCTTTCCGGCCATCCTGGGGCTGTCTCCGCTCACACCAATGGGGCTGCACTGCGGAAGGGAGATGGAGGCTCTGATTTCACTCACTCTCCCACCAAAACTGCTCCTTTTATACGTTTCCTCACTCCGCCCAGCTCTTGCAGCTATTCCCGGACTGCGCATGCATGGAGAGGGGGAGGAGCCCAGAAATGGCGTGCATGTCCACAGGGACAGCTCTGCGTGCCACCTGTGGCACACGTGCCATAGGTTCGCAACTACAGATCTATAGTGAGCTACAACTTTTATTTCTAGTGGAGGCCATTCCGTAAGAGAAGAACTCCTGTAGAAAATCTGACTTCTGAATTTCCATTCATCAACTTCATGGGATTCTCATTAGGCAGTTTTTGTATGCACAATTTGGGTAGACAGATTTTAATTGGAGTAAGTAGTCTGACAACTTTAAAGGTAGCACTAGCATCCTGAACTATACATAGAAGCAGACTGGCAACCCAGTGTAGCTCTTGCTATATTTGCTGTTATATGGAAAAATCAAGTTTTTTACATATTACTACAATTAGAGACTATGGATATTTTCAAAGATAATACCCTGTAGAGCAGAGGTCTCCAACTTTTTGGTTTGGTGGCCTGGAAAGGGAGGCAGGCACTGCTATGTGCGCACATGCAAATGACCCCCATGCACGTGCGCACAAATGTGCCCTATGTGAGCGCATGCGCACAAGCAAATGGCCATGTACGAGCGCATGCACACATATAAATGGGGCTGCACACGTGCAAATACTGCAAATGAGGCGGCGCTAGCGCTGGCGGGATGCCATGGAGGCACTAGTAGCAGCGGGACGCTCTGGGGCAGGGTGGTGCTAGCACTGGCGGGATGCTTGGTATGGCGCTGATGCCAGTGGGATGCTTGGAGGTGGCACTAGTGCTGGCAGGATACTTGGGGCGGCACTAGCACCGGTGGGAAGCTCAGGGGTGGGGTAGCACTGGCAGGATGTTTAGGGCACTGTGAGGGCCGGTGGGATGCTCGGGGCAGGATGGCCTAACGACAGCATGATGCTCGGGGCAGCACAACTGCTAGTGGGAAGCTCGGGACGGGGTGGTCCTAGCACCAGCAGTATGCTCGGGGTGGTGCTAGGGCGAGTGTAAGGGAATGCACACACGTGTGCAATGCATTGGGCATCCCTTCACGTGGCCCAGTGGCCATGGCCTGGTAGTGGGCCATGGCCTACAGGTTGGGGACTCCTGCTGTAGACACACTGCAGTAATCTATACATGAAGTAACATAGGCATGAGTGATAAACTCAAGTTCTAGATACAAGAACAACTGATTTACAAGCCAAAAAGTGAGCAAAGGTTCTTCTGGCCACAACTGCCACCTCCTATTCCAACAGGAGCTAGAGGTCCAGGAGGATCCTGAGATTGCACATCAGTTGCTTCTGGGGAAGTACAACCCCATCAAGACTTTACATTGGTGTTACGCTAGAATCAATTAGTTTCTGAAATAGCAAGTACTCTGCTTTGCCTAGGTTGAGTTTCAACCCTTTTGAACCCTGACACATCTCTTAACATCCATGCGATAGTTCCTATGATTTTTTTTTTTTACAATACTCCCACAAACTTCTTTTTGTTGCTCTGCATGTGGAGAACGGAGCTGGAAAGGAGGTTAGTGAATTCCTTCACTAACCTCCTTTCCAGCTCCGTTCTCCACATGCAGGGCAACAAAAAAGAAGTTTGTGGGACTACGGTTAAAAAAAAAAAAAGAACAACAATCCGATCTTCCAACTTCTAGTGAAAAATAGAAGATCTCGCACAGTCAGAAGGTCTGATTGAACTTTTTTTTTTTTACTGTAGTCTCATAGGCTTGGTGGCGGAGAACAAGCTGGAAAGCAGATTAGTGAAGGTATTCTTTGGGGAAGCAGGGAAGACTGGGAAGGGGCTGCTCTAGCCACCATCTCACTCTGCCAGCATCAGGGCTCTGAAGGCCAGGCGGCCAAGGATACTGTTAAGGCTTTGTCCTCCACCCCTCACATCGCCTTGCTTAGTGGCTGCGGCACCAGTGCATCGCTCAGCCTCCTGCTTCATTGCAGCAGTAAGGAGGAGAAGCTTCATACTCTATCCACCCGCCTCGTTTCGTGGCTTTGGCACCCCTCGCCTCATGTTGTCAGCAAGCAGACAGAATGGGTGGGCGGGTGGATGCACAGGCTTTTAAGTAGGGCTTACTTTCAGGGTAGGGCTTATATTTGGCATAGGCATGAAAATCAGGCTAGGGTTTATGTTTGGGGTAGGTCCTATTTTCAGGGAAACATGGTATAAAGCATAAATAATCATGACCAATGCTATTTTCCAGGCTTAAAATCTGATAGAAGACAGTCCAGATAATCCATTTCTTTCTGAGTCCTCTGCAGATGTCAAACAATTACCTTCTCAACAACCTCCCTGAGAACAATGGGTGATAGTTGTCCACTGTAGCAGGGTTAAATGTTAGCTTCTTAAGAAAGATATACAATGCCTCTTTCAAAGATATCTCACCATGGCTGGACCCATTTCCCCACCCCCTCCTTGGGAGCATGCACAAGTCAAATGAGGTAGGATCAACTCATCTCATGCTAAACTGCCCAATTCTACAGAATCCATATATTCAAACTTTCCCAGGAAACCTTGAAACACATGAACCTCATTTCTCTGGACTCTGTCCAATTAGCTTCCGATTCCAAGTGAACCCAAGAGTGATTTTTATCTACAAAGAGTTTTGTTAACATTGTCACTGGGTTTTTTTTTCCTACTCCTTTTTCTGTAAAAGAATCTGGGTCACTTTACAAAGGGCTCTAGAAAGCAATCTATAGATGCAGTAAGATATTAAGTCTACTCACTTTTCGAGTCTGCATCTTTTCTGTTCGCCTTCTAAATGCAACATAAGGATCATTTGTGCTGGACCCATCACGTTTCTCCTGTTTCACTGCTGAGATAAGAGAGGGACCTCGGCAGTTTTTTCTCTTTTTAATCCAATATTCGTACACTTCTCTAATCAATTCATCATCTTCCTTCAAGAGTAGTTTGGCTTCCTGCAGGCTGACTGGCTAAAGGTAAAATCCAAGTATGTCACTTTTATGTATTTATATTCTTTAAATAATTTCAAATTAGAAACAATACTATACCTGCTGACCACTTCCTTTTTCAAGTCTATCTATCATTTCTTCAAATTGCAAAGGAAAAATATCTATTTTTTTCTTCAGCTTATTCACAAAGGCCTCATCTTCTGAATCCAAATCATAATCCGGTTGCTCAGCATCCAAACTAAAAGCTGAACAGAGAAAAATATTTTAATGTGTTTTATATAATCTATGCAAAATAGTATAAAGTAATTTAGATGTAATTCTCAAAAGTTCAGTTGGACAATTTATTTGGAAGTTGAAGTAAATAGTTTAATATAAATTTCAAACTAGAAGAAATGTAAAACAAGCACATATATTCCTGCCATCTTAAAATCTACTGACTATAAACTTATATTTCTTAACAAATCCTGAGAATATGAATTTAGGGTAGCTAAATTCAATCTAGATAAGACAGAATGTAGATATATGGTTGAAATATTATCAAATGAATATGTCAATATTTATAAAATAGCCTTCATTGGATAATTCTTCATTAAGAACTATTTAAATATATTGATTAAGGAATGAATAAAACAGCCTTGACAGATCTATCCCATTACCAATTGTACTTGCTCATTGACTACTTTGTTCAGCAGCTGTTCCAGGTTACAAAGTTGTTAAAAAATAATTTTATAACCAATGTCCACATTTACAACTTTTTACACTGTCCATCAGTCACGTGATTGCCATTACAATAATATGTTTTGTCCAATATCCAATCTATTGTTTTACTTATTTTCTCCTGGGAAATGCAAACAGTCCAGTATTCATCATTGTTTGACTGTTTATTCTTTTGTATTCCCTTTCTCTCCAAACTCTGCACTTTGGGGTGAGAATGGTACAGGCCAGAAGAGATTATCTACAGAAGGGGCGTTGTCTTACCTGAACGCCTTTTCTCAGCACGGAGATGGATAATTCACCAATGGGTTGAGACTGTATTCCTGCCCAATCAGATCAGTCAGCCAAAGTTGCCACGCCCATCCTGGTCCACGAGATCCCCAGTCTTGACATGAGCAAAGCCATTGACTGACAGCAAGACCTTTTGGCTCAAACTATCTAACCCTAACCATCATGGCCTATAAGGGTGGGTGTGGATTATCCATCTCCGTGCTGAGAAAAGGCATTCAGGTAAGACAACGCCCCTTCTCCAGCATTGGAGATGGATAATCCACCAATGGGACATACCAAAGCCTATTATCCCTCGGGGTGGGGAATAGACTGGTCCTGTGTGGAACTTTGGTTTAAAACCTGCTGAAGAACCCTCCTACCGAAGGAGGCCTCTGCAGAGGAATATTTGTCGATTTTATAGTGGCGAATGAATGGGGAAGGCGAAGCCCAAGTGGCCGCCTTGCAAACCTCCTCAATGAAGCTTGCGTGGCCCATGCTGCCGAGGTGGCAGCACTCCTTGTGGAGTGAGCCGTGATATGTCTGGAAACCGGCAAAGCCTCCGCCTGGTATGCCCCAGCGATGCATGCCCTGATCCACCTGCCAATGGTGGAGGAAGAGACCTTCCGACCCTTAGAGAGGAGTGAAAGGATATAAAAAGAGCCTCTGAACAGTGGAATTCCACTGTCCGCAAAATATAGTACCTTAACGCCCTGCGGACGTCTAATGTATGCCATTGTCGTTCCAGCACATGTGTTGGATTTGGACAAAAGTCCAGTAGGACTATTTCCTGCGACTTGTGAGAAAGGGAATTGACCTTTGGGATGAAGGAAGGGTCTAGCCGCAGGACTACCCTGTCCCTGTGAAAGCAACACAGGTCCTTCCTTGTTGAGAGTGAGGCTAAGTCGGATATACAATGGGCCAACGTAATTGCTACCAAGAATGCTACCTTGTGGGTTAGGTAGTGGATGTCACGTTTTTAGTGGTTCGAACGGTGCTCTGGTCAGAGCTCGCAGTACTCGTGGTAGCTCCCATGAGGGGTATCTGTGTACGGTGGGTGGCCTAATGTTCGCAGCCCCTTTGAGGAAGGAGCGGAGTAAGGTGTGTTGGCCCAGGGGTTCACCAGAGTTGCCCAACAGTGTTGTTGAGAGGGCGGCGATCTGTCTACGCAGTGTGTTTGGCGCTAAGCCTCTCTCCAGGCTACTTAGTAGGAATTCCAGAATGTTGGGAACCGTGAGTTCTGAGGGTCAGGCTCCGTTCAGAGCACCATGATTGAAAACTTTTCCACGTGGCTTCGTAAATACGGTTTGTGGAAGAGCACCTGGAGGCCTGGATAACTCTGATTACTCCCTGTGAACAGAGTCCCCTTGTTAGGATTGACCGCTCAAGTGCCAGATGGCTAGTTGTAGCCATTGTGGCTCCAGGTGGGAAATCGCCCCCTGAGATTTTCTCCGGGGGAATCCGCCAGGCTTCTCGTACGAGAGAGGCTTCTCAAGTCTGCGAACCAAGGTCTCCTTGGCCAATATGGGGCCACCAGGATTATCTCGGCTCGCTCCCGGAGAAGTTTGCGTATTACGGCCGGGAGGAGAGGTGGGGGGGGGAAGGCGTATAGGAGGCCCTTTGGCCATGAACTCCGTAATGCATCTGTCTGTTCCGCTCCCACAGAGGGAAATCGGGAGAAGAAGCGAATCAGCTGGGCATTGGACTGAGATGCGAATAGATCTACCTGAGGACGACCGAAACGGTGGCAGATCTCCTTGAAGATCCTCGGGTGGAGGCGCCATTCCGAGTGATCTACTGTTGTCCTGTTCAACAGGTCTGCCTGGGTGTTTGTTTCCCCTGATATGTGGTCGGCCTTTATTGAGGCCAGGTTTTGTCCTGCCCAAGCCCCCAGTAGAAGGGCCTCGGACTATAGGGAGCGGGAGTGGGTGCCCCCTGCTGATTTACGTGGGCTTTGGCTGTCACATTGTCTGTTAGGACTAGTACGTGGCACCGTGTTAGCTCGCTGTGGAAGTGTCGTAGTGCCAGATGGATGGCTCGAAGTTCGAGCCAGTTTATGTTGTGTCGGAGGTCCACTGTGGACCAACGGCCCTGCGTCCACTTGGTCCCGAGGTGAGCTCCCCAGCCGAACAGACTTGCGTCAGTCGTGAGTACTAGTCTGTCCGGTTCCCTGAAGTGGGAGCCTCTGAGTAGGGCTGGTGATAGCCACCATGTGAGGGAACACCGTACCCGTTGTAGCAGCCCTACCCTTTTTTGGGATGCACTGAGCTCCTGCCTCTGGAACGGAAGCATGAACCATTGTAACTCCCGCGAATGCAGCCTGGCCGATGGGACGATTGCTATGGTCGAAATCATTTTTCCTAACAGTTGGGAAAGGCTGGCCAGTGTTACCGACTGCCGTCGGCGCAGCAGTGTTATTGCTTCCCTCATGCTCTTGCAGCGTTCCTGAGAGAGGTACACCTTGCACTCTACTGTGTCTATGATGGCCCCAATATGCAGTAGTCTCGTTGACGGGACCAGGTGGCTCTTGAGGAAGTTCAACGAGAAGCCGTGATCCTGGAGCAATCTCACTACTAGTTTGAGGTCCGCCTGGGCGGAGCGGACAGACGATGAGTGGATTAATATGTCGTCCAGGTAGCACTGGACTCTGACAGGTATCGTCCTTAGATGAGCTGCCAGGACCGCCAGTATCTTTGTGAACACCCTGGGAGCTGATGATAGGCCGAATGGGAGCGCCCTGTATTGGAAGTAACGTCCCCTGTAAGCGAACCGTAGGAACCGGTGGTGGGTCAGAGAGATGGGGATATGTAAGTACGCCTCCATGAGGTCGATAGACGTCAGGAGGTCCCCTTTTCTTACGCTTCCTAGTATGGAGCGTAGCGTTTACATCTTGAATTTGCGATATGTCAGATGGAAATTTAGCCTTTGAGATCTAAAATAGCTCTCCATCCCCCTGATGGTTTAGGGACAACAAACAGTATGGAGTAAAATCCCTGACCTCTCTGATCCAGGGGCACCGGTTCTATGGCTCGGATACTTAGTAGGTGTTGAACGCCTTCGTTCATGAGTTTTTTCTTTTTTTGGTTTTGGGGACAAGGGCAGGGGAGGAAGCGGTTTGGGGGGGTTGGAGAGGAATTCTAGGGAGAGCCTGAGGCGTACGGTGTTTCTGACCCATAAGTCCGTGGTGGTTTCTTTCCACTGGTGGGCAAACTGGGCGAGTCTGCCCCTATGGGAAGGGCTGATGAGGAGTCATCTGGAGCGGCGAAAGGGACAGTTATTCCCCCGAAAGGGCCGCTTTCCCTGCGCTTGCTGTCTAGGTCTTGAGTTTTGCCTCTCTGTCTGTCTCTCCTGCCTATCCTGTCTAGCCTGGAAGGGCTGTGATGGCTGGAGTAGGTGAATCTGGTTTCTGTACGAAAGGACTGTTTCCTTCCGAAGCAACCTGGTCGTCTTTCCTGTCTTTTGAGAATGTGATTGAGGACCTTGCATTTGTCCTTAATTCTCTGTTAGATAAGGCGTTAGCGCCTCGCCAAATAATTTGGCTCCCTGATATGAGGCAGATGCCAGTTTCCATTTGGATTTGGCATCGGCTTGCCAGTGTTTTAACCAAAGCAGGCGTCTGCCTGTGATGTTGGACGCTATGGCCCTGGCTGAGAACCTGGCCGCTTGGAGTGTTGCGTCTGACGCATACTCCGTGGCTGCTACCATTTTGCTGAGTTCCTGTTGGGTACGGATGTCCTCCGCTGGGACTCGGCTTTGCAATTGACAGAGCCAGCAGAGTGTGGCTCTGCTGAAAAAGGAAGCGGAGGTAGCGGCTCTAGTAGCCCATGCTGTTGCTTGGTGCGTTCTCCGGTAGGTGGACTCGCATTTGCAGTCCTCGGCCTTAAGGGCCTCTGAGAAGTCTCCCAATATGGCAGTGGCCGATACGAGGGGCCCTAAGGGCTTGTCCACCATTGGTACCTCCAACGCCTCCTCCAGTTCCTTGGCTACATTGTATAGCCTCTTGTCGGTGTTACCCGGAAGAGGGCGGGAAGCTGGTGAGGTCCATTGTTTCCGGATCGCGTTTAGGAACAGGGCCGGACAAGGGATGCAGTGTTGGGTGGTTACCTTTTCGGCGAACCTGGGATCGGCCTCCGGGTCGGGGAAGGCGGGTTCTGCTGGAGTTCCCTGTCCGAGATGAGCCGTGGATTCGGCCTTACGCAGTAGGGTGACAAAAAGAGAAGGGTTAAAAGAGACCGTTGAAGGAAGGCACCTCAGGTGGGTTGTCTTCGACCTCTGACATTTGAACCTCCTGCGATGTGCCTGGTTGGTCAATAGTCATCAGAAAGAGATGACCCAGAAGGAGAGGAGGGGCATTGTTGGGCCTCCGTCTCTTCCTGATGGCCGGATCTGTGTCTGGATGCTGCCGGCCTGGGGCCCTGGGCTCTGGCCTCGAGGGTGCGGTCTACTGCTTGCGCTATTAAGGCTGCTAGTCGGTCCTCCGATGGAATAAGAGGCGCCGGGTTCATTTGTATCCCTGCTGCCACGGGTGTGAATGTGGCTTCGGGAACTCCCTGTGACCTCCGTGGCAAAGAAGATTGGGATAGGGATGAGAGCTCACCTGTCCTTCATCGTGCTGGGGACTGGGATGATTTCCCTGTTGACCAGACTCCCAGTGGGGATGATGAGGGCCCCAGGGGTAACTCAGGGGCTCGACTCCCATTCTGATTCTTCTCTAGTCTGGCCCTTTTTTGAACCCTGGCAAATTCTTTTTCTAGGGCTTGGTGTCTCCTGTTTGCCTGTTTGTCTGCCTTCCTGGAACACTTTTTGGTAGACCTGGCCTTAGAGGCTGTTGTATTGTCAGAGCCCTCTGAACCGGGTGCTCCTGATGTGGAAAGCAGGGCTCCTGTAGAGGGCATGAGAGCTTCCTCCATTCTCCAATAGCTCAGGGTCACGAGAGGGGGACCCCGGTAATAGGAGAGTATACACACTAAGGACAGACGCACTACAGGGGGCGCCTGGAACCCAGGTACAGCCTCTGCGTCTAGGCCCGAATCAATGGCTGTGCACGGATAAGGACAGGCACACTAATGGGGATGCCTGGAACCCGGCCCGGTCTGCTGCGGATAAGGACAGGCACACGACTGGGGGTGCCGGGAATCCAAGCAATAATAACCCAGATACGTACATGTCCACTAATGGGGTTACCCGAGGTCCGGGTGGAGCCAGTTAATATTTAATTAGTTAATTTATTAGTTATTAGCAATTAATTATGTTTTAATTAATTATAGGTGGAGAGGCACCAAGTCCTGGAAGGAGAAGTTGCTAGCTATTGATTTATCTAATCTGCCTTGAACACTCACTATTGACTTGCCTAGTGTGTTTGAACACTCACTCTGCTCAGGTTTCTCCTGTTCTCCGAGTAGCAGGAGAACCCACTCCAAGCAGCTGATACTGCCAGAAATGCTCTCCGCATGAGTTGCCTTTAATTTGCGGCCGGTGGGTATTAATATGGCCACGCGTGCGCAAAATGACTGCCGCGCATGCGCAGTGGTTCCCTGGCTTCAAAAGTACCCAGGAGGCTGTCGCACATACACGAAAATGGCCGCCGCGCTTGCGCAGTAGCTCCTCCTTCCTGTCCGATGCCACGTGCGTTGGAAACAAAGGGTCGCGCGTGCGCTGAGCAGCTCCGACAATAGCGGTCCGCTCAAACTCTCAGAGCTCTCCGGTGAGACGGAAGACAAATTCTCCCATTTCCCTTCTATCAGCTGTTCCGTGCTAGACCGGAGCAGCCCCTGAGCGTGATTCTCTCCCCGTGTGCCCCCCCGCCCACAACAACTTCCGAGCTGGCTTCTACAGTGGAGCTGCGGCCGCAAGCTCCATTTGCGCGAGCGCTACTCAGCTGATCCGCTGACTGGTAAGGGCGAGTGGAGGGGTGGGAGTTAGGTAAGGCAAGAGGAGTAGGGAATTCTCCCTTCTCTATCAAGGGAGATATCCCCTCGTGGGGCTATGAGTTTTAGACTCCCTTGGAATTTTAAAAATTAGAAATTTAGTAGAAGACCAAATAAACTGAGTCCAATTACTTGCTACCAACTCTCAGCTACTGGGAGATAATCCACCAAAAGGAGAGAGACTGTACCTGCCTAAGAGCCAAAATTGCACGTCTGGTCGCTGGGCGAGATCAGTCAAGACTGGGGATCTCGTGGTCCAGACACGTGGAAACTTTGGCTGACTGATCTGATTGGGCAGGAATACAGTCTCAACCCATTGGTGGATTATCCATCTCCAGTGCTGGAGAAAGTTCCCCTCCCTCCTGCAGAATCGAGAGATTGGAGAGAAAGGGATTACAACAAAATACACAGGCACACAATGGGGAATTCACAGAGAAAGAAAAATGCTAGTGCCAGTAGCCACCTACACACAATGCAAACAGCCCAAGGTATTCCCCATATTGTAAGACGGTATCATGGCCCTGATCCTTTTGACAAGCCCTTATAATGTTGCCCTATTGATTTATTTACAACATCATTTGTTGTACTATATTCCATGTGAAAGAAAAAAAGAAATATGTCAATTTGTAATCTGTAGGATATTGACAGGTAAATAAAATTCAGAATTGTTTTATTGTATAGTACCTCTCCAATTCCATTTTCTTTGACCAAATTTAAAAAAACTACCTGACAATGTTAAAAGTTTTGATATAGACTGTTAATGAAGTAAATGGATAAATTTTCAGTTTGTTCATGAAAACTCTGAACACATTATAAATTAGCTTAGCCTACTAGTAAAACCATATAGTACTACGAGATTGCAAACATGTACATTATGTCAAATATACTTTGTCAAATATACTGTGTACAGGTAGTCCTTGACTTATAAACACAATTGGGACTGGAATCTTAGTCACTGTATGAAGCAGTCATTAAGCGTGACACCCTCATGGCTCTCCCAATTGGTTGTTAAGTGACTACATGAGTTGTTAAGCCTGCCAAAGGAAAATAGGCAGCTCCCTTCCATGCGCAGAAGAGAAAATCTGCAGCAGGCAGAAACAAACCTCTGATCTTTTGAGATCCAAACTTATTTCTGTAGCCTGCTGCAAATGTTCCCTTCCCCACCATACAAGGAGGGCAATTTCTTGGGGGGACTATAAAAATGAAGCTCGGATCTTCGTGATCTGATCTCCATTTCTGCAGCCCTTTAGAAGAGTTTTTCTCCTCTCCCTGAACTGAAGGGAACTCATGTAGTGGGTTGGAGAAACAAGAAGAGATTGCAAATAGTCCTGCTTTGTTTCTCCTACCCAACAAAGGTTTCCCCCACCTATTAAATGGAGGGGAGGGGAAAACTTTAGACAAGTGACAACATTTTCCAACCTTCCCTGCCAGCTTCCCCACTGTTTTTCTGGAAAAGATAGAAGGATTGCAAATAGTGATTACATGATCATGGGGCACTTGTCATCCAATCTGAAGTGCAAACAGTTTGTAAAAAATCCCGCTCAGGTAACCATGTGGGGAACACAGTGTGACATTTTTTGATAGCTGGAAATGCTTTCTAGACTGCCAAGCAGGGCCCCCCAACCTTTTGGAACCAGGGACTGGTTCCATGGAGTGTTTTTCTGTGGACCGGACGGGGTGTGTTTTGGATGGGGCTTCGCTGGTTTGCGCGAATCTGTTTCTGGCACGCTGTAGCCTGGTACTAGTTCACAGACTGGATCCAATTAATTTTAAATATTCAGTATAAACATATACTCACGCTGTATGTGAATAAGCTGCTTTGGCATTTTAAATTCTCCAGGATATATTGATTCATAATAGGCAATATTACTTTCTGCTTCTGGGACTGGTATAACCATATTATCCCGTTTCTCTCCATATACTTGCTGTGCTGAAATGGCCCGCTGGAGATGATGTTCCTACAGTTCATTAACAAAAAAAGACAGATGAAATACATACTCTATATATGTATGTGTCTAAATAATGTTAATGTGGAAACAGAACAATTGAATTAATATTGTTTCAGCCAGATATTTCTGTCTGTATCTATTTAATTTAGCCTCTGTTGAAGTTATTACATTTTAATAGATTTTCACACTTAGTAAAAGTAAGCCAAAATCAAAAACACAAACTGAAAACGTTGCCAAAAGATTTCAGAATGCATTTGTCATTTTTGCTATAATAAAAATAAAAAAAATTAAAAGGTATTTTGAGACAATAAAAATAAATTAAAACAAATTAAGCACTGATTGTTTGTTCTTAAGGTTTTTTATAAAATAATTTAAATAGGTAGTTCATACCCATATTTTGTTCTTATGCTTTAAACTATGCAAAGTAGAAATCTGATTAGAGGCAGAAAATCCATTCTTGTCACATTTCAATAATCAACAAAATATTAATTCCAACAGATTAAAATACCGTATCCTTCCAATATTATTTAGGAATGGAAATTAATGTTACTGCTAAACTAACAGTATTTCCCATATTGTCTAAATGTGATTAATCAGGCAAGACAATAGAAAAGATATTATTCACCAAACTACATGGATTGGACCAACTCTGCATCCTTACTACTATTTTCTGAATCATTTGCAACATGTCAAAAAGATCAGCAAAACTCTCTTATGGACCCATACACATTTTAATAGTTTATATTAATTCAGTTATTTTGGACCAGAAGTACATAAATACTAAGCACCAATCAATCTAAAAGAATTTCCTGAATAATCTCAAATGTGTTAAAGGTATAAGGCTGACTACCATTAACTTCATATTTTGATCCCATTTCTCAGGTTCTTTTTTTATTCTATCTTATTTAATAGACTTCCCAAAACTCTTGCCTATCATCAAGTTAGTTACCCCTATGTGACAAATGCATTACAACCTGTTCTAGGCATTACAGTTTATGGAGTATCAAAAAAACAATCGGCATGCACTATCAAAATGTTTCCAAACATTAAATTTTCAAATGCTTAACATTATTAAAGTGCTGAAATATTTACACTGTTTATACATTAGAATATTTGTAAATTGTATTTATTTATTTAGCTTATTTATATAGTGACTCTGAGCAGTATACAGCATGACAAATTAAAAACTATATAACTAAAAAACAATTAGACATAAATGAAATAAAAGCAGAAACATAGAAATTAGGATTTTAAATAATCTTGAATTGTTCTTCTGATCAGCCAATTTTTTTGTTTGTTTGTTTGTTGTTTTGGCTTACTTCAGAAACAGAAAACCACATTTAACGAACAACTACACTCAAAATGGTCTTGATTTTGAATAAAAAGCAAACATATCTATTTCATGTAAATAAAATACAAAAGTCTTTTTTTTCTGCGGGCCTTCAAGTCAATGTTGACTCTTGGAAGACTGCCTGGATAAATTCCTGGAATTTTCTTGATAAGATTTCAGAAGTGGTTTGCCTCTGTCTCTTTTCCTAGAACTAAGAGAGAATTTTTGAGCCAAAATCACCTAGCAGACCTTGTATCTAAGACCCAACTCATGGTTTCCAGGTTTCTAGCTTGATGTTTTGACCTCTATAACAAATTGGTTATTTTGTTTTTGACTGCTTAATAAGCAAAACTTTTACACTGGAGAGAACAATACACAAATACAGGTAGTCCTTGAGTTAAGACTATAATTGACCCCAAATTCCCACTACTAAGTAAGCAATACAGTTGTTAACTGAATTTTGCCTCATTTGATTACCTTTTTTTGCTACAGTTGTTAAAGGCAATCATTGTGGTTAAATTAGTAACATAATTGTTAAGTGAATCTGGTTTCCCCATTGATTTTGCTTTTCAGAAGGTCACAAAAGGTGATCACATGCTCTCAGGGCACTGAAACTGGAATACATTTATGCCAGTTGCCAAACATCTGAATTTTGATCATGTGACTGCAGGAATGCTGCAGCAGTTTATAAGTGTGAAAAATGGTCATAAGTCACTTTTTCAGTGTTGTTGTAACTCTGAATGGTCACTAGAGAAATGACTAAGTCAAAGACTACCTGAATAGATATAGGATTACTTACAGAATAGTGTGTTTTATTGCCCCACCACACTTTATAGATAATATTTTTATATTCTTCACCAAGGATATGTGGACTTGAAGGCTGATTGCTCTATTTCTGTATACAGAATTGAATAAGAGTTGGAAAAGACCCTGGAGGTCTTTTAATCCAGCATTCCCCAACCTTTCTGGCTTTGTGGACCTGAGGGAAGAGAGGAAAGGGGATGGTTCTACGTGAACTGCGGATGAGGGCACACATCTGTCTGCACAAGCAGTAGGCACTCACCTGCTGCTTCTACAGCCCGGTTCAGAAGGGACTATGGACCAGTATTGGGTTGCGACCTGGGGGTTAGGGTCCCCTGTTCTAGTCCAACCCTAAATCATTTAAGACACATGGTTCACCAATCTCTTCTTCAAAACCTCCAGTACTGGAACAACCACAACTTCTGGATGCAAATCATTCCACTGATTAAATGTTCTAACTGTCAGGAAGTTTCTCCTTAGTTCTATGTTGCTCCTTTCCTTGATTAGTTTCCATCCATTGATTCTTGTCCTGCCTTCAGGTGCTTTGGAGAATAGACTGACCCCGTTTTCTTTGTAACAGCCCCTTTGATATTAACACAGCTAACACACCATCCTAGTCTTTCTTTTGATTAAACAAGACATACTCAACATCTGCTATCGTTCTTTGAATGTTTTAGCCTCCAGTCCCCTAATCTTTGCTGCTCTTCTCTGCAGTCTTTCTAGAGCAGCAGTGTCAAACTTGCAATGTCATATGATGTGTCGCGACGTATCGTGACTTTTTTTTCCATTGCCACCAATGGGGTGGGCATGGTTTTGCTAAGACGCATCTGGCCAGTGGGCTGGCAGTTTGACACCCCTATTCTAGAGTCTCAACATCAGTTTATGTTACAGTGGCCAAAACTGGGAGCAATATTCCAGGTGTGAGCTTACCAAGGCATTATAAAGTGATATTAACATTTCACATGATGATGATGATAGTAGTAGTAGTAGTAGTAGTAGTAGTAGTAGTAGTAGTAGTAGTAGTAGTAGTAGTAAAGTTGGAAGGGACCTTAAAGGTCATCCAGTCCAACCCCCTGCTCAGGCAGGAAACCGTACACCATTTCGGAAAAATGGCTGTCCAATCTCTTCTTAAAAATTTCCAGTGTTGGAACATTTACTGCTTCTTGAGGCAGGTTATTCCACTGATTAATTGTTCTAACTGTCAGGAAGTTTCTCCTTAATTCTAGGTTGCTTCTCTCCTTGATTAGTTTCCACCCATTGCTTCTTGTCCTGCCCTCAGGCGCTTTGGAAAATAACTTGACTCCCTCTTGTTTATGGCAGTCCCTGAAATATTGAACACTATCATGTCCCCCCTCGTCCTTCTCTTCGTTAAACTAGACATACCCAATTCCAGCAACCGTTCCTTATGTTTTAGCCTCCAGTCCCCTAATCATCTTTGTTGCTCTCCTCTGTACTCTTTCTAGAGTCTCAACAACTTTTTTGCATCGTGGTGACCAAAACTGGATACAGTATTCCAAGTGTGGCCTTACCAAGGCATTGTAAAGTGGTATTAATACTTCATGTGATCTTCATTCTATCCCTCTATTAATGCAGCCTAGCACTGTGTTGGCCTTTTTGGCAGCTGCAGCACACTGCTGGCTCATATTTAGGTGATTGTCTACTAGGACTCAGAGGTCCCTCTCACAGTTACTACTATTGAGCAAGGTGCCACCTATGTTGTATTTGTGCATTTGTTTTTTTCTTGCCTAAATGTTAAACCTTGCTTTTTTCACCATTGAATTTCATTTTGTTAGATAGTGCCCAGTGTTCAAGTCTGTCCAGATCCTTCTGTATCTTAAGCCTGTCTTCTGGAGTGTTGGCTATTCCTGCCAGCTTGGTGTCGTCTCAAATTTGATGAGTTCCCCATCTATCCCTTCATCCAAATTGTTGTTGAAGATGTTGAAGAGCACTAGGCCCAGAACAGAGCCCTGGGGCACCCCACTACACACTTCCCTCCATGTAGATGCAGTTGCATTGAGGACCAGATGCTGAGTACGGCTGGTCAGCCAGCTATGGATCCATCTGGTGGTGGTTCTGTCTACCCCACATTTTTCTATCTTATCAAGTGGTAGGTTGTGATCTACTTTATCAAATGCTTTACTGAAGTCCAAGTAAATTATGTCCACAGCATTCCTCTGATCCTAATTTTGTCACTTGGTAAAAAAATGCAATAAAATTTGTCTGGCATTATCTATTTTTGACAAACCCATGTTGGCTTTTAGTAATGACTTTGTTTGCCTCTAGGTTTTCATTGATTCGTTGTTTGTTTATCTTTTCCAGAATCTTCCCAGGTATTGAGGCCAGGCTGATAGGTCTGTAATTTCCTGGGTCCATTTTTTTCCCCTTTTTGAGAATGGGAACTACATCAGCTCTTTTCCAGTCCTCTGGTAGTCCCCCTGTGCTCCAGGATCTTTGAAAAATATAGTTCAGTGTTTCTGAGATCACATCTGCCAGTTCCTTGAGAACCTTGGGGTGTGATCCATCTGGTCCTGGTGATTTGAACTCGTCTAGGCTGGACAGGTGCTCCCTAACCATTTTCTTGCCTATCTTAACTTGTGTTTCTATTTTGTTTTTTATGGCACTATTTTTGATAGGTTGATTTGTTTTTTCCCTTTGTGTAAAGACAGATGCAAAAAAAGGAGTTAAATAGTTCTGCTTTCTCTCTGTTGCTTGTCACCTTCTTGCCACTTTACCCACTAATGGACCAATAGTTTCCTTCGCTTTTTTCTTGTTCTTTACATGTTGAAAGAAGCTTTTTTTGTTATTTTTGACTTTGGTTGCAAGCCTTAGTTCATTTTGAGCCTTAGCTTTCCTCACTTCCTCTTTCCAGGCTCAGGCT